CACACATGTCACATGTTATGTTTTTGGAGAGTTTTCCACACATTGTGGGAGCATTTTGAATTTTGAGGTTTCAATCACATGCTACACGTTTCCAAATGTTGATGTGCAACTGTCCACACATGTCACATGTTGCTGGGCATTTGCCGTGCCCACAAAAACCGGAAGCATTGAGGATTAAAATGTGTGCAATTCTGCATGTGTTTGTGCAATTGTCCACAAGTTGTGGGACCATGAGTCAGTGTTGAGGCTTCAAACAGGCCATGCAGCCTGCCAAATGCATGTGTTCACATGATTCACATTGCTGAAAACGCATATATATATTATAATATAGTCACATGTCACATGTTACCATATTCATATTATTATATTATATATTGTTTATTATCAGTTGTGCCCACATGTCACATGTCACATGTCTTCAGGCGGTAATTGTCCACAAGTGTTTGGCGCAAATTCAAACATAAACCTAACATTAGCATTGTTTCCGCATGACAGGTGCTATGCGTCCTCGTGTTTTGTGGAGCATGTTTGGCTCAACAAACAGACATGCTTCCACATGTTTCATATCACTCGCGTTTTCGGAGCACGTTTGGACTGTTTGGACTCACCAAGAATGTTTTCCATGTGCACCTGCCTGTGAAGCATATATAAGTTACGTTGGTTTATGCGCAATGTCACGTCCTACAAAACCGAACACCAGGCACAAGTTGTTGCGCATGACAAGGGCTAAAAGGCTCAGGCTAAGGTCCGAGGTCCCTATGGGTCCTCTCTTGGGTGACACGCACGTGCATCTCATCGTGGCGTTGACTCTCATAACTCATCATTGTCATCATAAGTCATAAATTTCATATTTCATAGTTTATGACTCAGTTATACAGTTATACAGTTATACAGTTAGTTATACAGTTAGTTTTATACAGTTATACAGTAATCAGTACAGTACAGTATTACCTTATGACTCTGACTTTGACTGTGCAGTACCCAAGTCTGCTGGTACATGTTACTGTTACTGTTACACTACGATGACTATGACATAGGACTATGACTATGACTCGACTCATGACTCATGACTCATGACTCATGACAGTACAGTTTACTCAGTTTACTGTACAGTTTACAGCACAGTGCGGTACTTTGTCAAATTGTAGCAAAGGTGGCCGGTGTGACCTGCAACTGTATCATGTATCGACGGTATCGACGGTATCGTCGCATCGTCGCTTGCAACTTGGGATCGGCTTGGGCGGGGGTCGTGGGCCTTGGGGGTCCGAAAGGGTCCGAAAGGGTTTCACTGAAACGGTTTCACGGTTTCACTGCAGTGTCGCTGTTTGGCCATTTTACATGGGATGGGAATGATCCTTTTACTTCATTATGACTCTGACAGGTTCATATCACGCTTAGGCCCGCTTAGGGTTTAGGCTTCGGCCCCATTAGGCCCACAATATGATAAGTAAGCCCATAAATCACATGACCATGGGCTAAAGGCTAACTCATAGGCTCAGGTGTGTGATTGCTTTAGCCTGCACCAAAGCTTGCCCCACATGAAAATCATGAAAAGGACAGCCATGTTTGGGCCACCAAATGAAACAAAGCATCGACGTCATCGATGAAATGTGTTTGTCATGTTCAGAATCCGTTGTGAAACATGTGACATGCGTGCAACATGCAACGCGCATCCAACTCCAATGAAAATCAAATGAGCTCATATCCATACTCTTACTGCAACGAAATGAGACCTACAACTTCAACTTCGGTTCATTTTTCAAGTTAAGTCCGTGGCAAGACAACTGGCACTAAAGATTTGCATTGTTCAGACCGAGCAATTGATACCTTGAGCCCAAAGCGTGTCAGGGGATAACTCCAAATTTGCAGTGCTCAGCCCGAGCACTCGATGTTTCTGGCACACTTGTTTGCTGCTTGCACATTGTCATTGAGTCATTGTGTTTCACCTCACCCACCGACCCTTCCTACCCCTTAGCAGCAGCTAGCAACCGGCGGCTTGCGGCGGCGGCTTGCGGCGGCGGCTTGCGGCGGCAGCTTGCTCTGCTGGCGAAGGTGGACCTGGCGTGATAACAGTGATGACTCGACTATGTCATGTCGTTATCGCCTCGCTATTGTCGTGGCTTTAGAGCAGGGTTGGATCTGGGGGATTTGAAAAGGGCGCCAGGGTGTGGCTCATTGATTTCCTGAGCATGATCCTTGTACAACCACTCCCGAAAGGTTTTGAGTTTTCGGCTTAGGGCTTGGGGCTGGCTTAGGATTTTCGGTTTTGGGTTTTCGGGCCCTTCGCCCAAGGGTCTCGGTTTTGGGCCTTGGGCCTATAGGCTGCCCATAGGGCCTTAGGCGGCCTTAGGCCTTTGCCTTTGCGGCTAGTAATAGGCTGGAGCCTAGCTGTTAGGCCGCCGCACTCTATTATGCCCACTCCCTCTATTCTAAATCATATTAAATAATATTACTTTCATTCATTGTTGACGTTCAGAACAAGGGTGAACGGGAATACGGGGGAAGATGGCGGGCGCCCTTACTTTAGGCTTTAGGCTGCTTTAGGGGTGCGGTGCGGTGCTTAGGTGGCACAATGCATAGCCAGGGTGCTGACAATTGGTCTCCTTGACAACATTAATCACAAAGACAAAGACAAAGACAAAGACATAAATCAGAATCATAAAGATCTTGCAGAAGAATCTTGCAGCTTTCAGCTTTCATCAAACTTGGTCATTGGTCTTGGTTGTTTCATGAGATGTGGTTGCTTGAATGTTTTCCGAATGCACCCTTCAAGCTGGCGTAAGCCAGTGATCACGCGTTAAGCTGAGCGTATCACAGGTGCCGGGCATATCAAACGAGTTTTGGGAAATCCTCGCATGACATGGTTCAAAATGGAAGGTGATCACCCTCCCATATTAAATTATATTGCTGAATTATGCGATTTTAGGCCAGGAGTACTAGGAGGAAGTGACCTGTTACCGTCACAGGCTGTCCTAGGCTCCAGTGGCTAGCGGGACAGCTGGCACCCGAGCAGCGAGCAGCCGAGCATTGGGCCGCACCATGTTGCCGCAACACTGGAACTACGATGCGACGATGAGCTAGAAGGAAGTTGTGTCGCGCTGCTCTGATAACCACGCGCGCGCGCCGTTCTTGCAGATGACTGCAAACGCAGATGCGGATGCGTTCTGAGCGCCCGCTTTGCGGGTGTTTCGTATCAGAAATTACTCACAGTCACTATGACTAAAGTGAACGGTTTATAGCTGGCTCAAAACATTGTTTGCACTGTTTGCAGTCATTTAAGGCTGATCAAAATCGATGGCTTTTGGAGTGAGATAAAAGGGATTTTTTTACGACTTTTTCATACTTTTCTGTATCGATGGCATTGTGTAGTCGCGCAAGTTCGCGCAAGGGCGCGTGCAAGACCAGCATATGATTCATATGATAGCAGCATCAGCATCAGTGAGCATCAGTGACAGCGCAGCATATCATATATATGAGCTCAACAATGAGGTAGATCAGCCCGTATTCACACTGGTTTCCGGTTCCGGTTTCCGCATGGGCAGGAGGGGGGAGGACAGGCCATTAATCAATCCTTATGTTTGACTTACATTTAGTAACACGTAGTCACAATGCGAATGTTTCGTGAATGAATCAACCGACTTGTTGTGACTTCTGTAAGTGTTGTTTTGTTTTTTCGATCCATGTCATGTGATGTGTTTTTCCATCATACCAGGAAATAGTATGTCAAATGTTCACGCAGGCGGCGTTGCTGCCAAACCGAACCTCTTTCTTTCGCCTTTCGCTTTGCGCTCGGCCTCGCAGTGTTCGTTTTTTTTGCACGCATTGATTGGTTCCGTTATGATAGGATGGGATTGCTTTGGCCTTCGGCATGTTACATGTTGCCCCACTTTCAGCTCTATTCGGATCGATTATTGGCCCCCTAAAAAGCTTAAAGCCGCAGCCCGCAGCCCCTTTGAAGGTTTTAAGTTTTTTAAGCCTTAAACAAACCTTTAACCTTAAGTAATAAGTAACTTAAGTAGGGTGCCCCGCTTCAATTTCTATGTAAGAGTATCAGTATGGGCTACAGTATGGGCCGTATGATGGGCCGTATCCGGGGGAAGATTGAGGGGCTCCTTAAGGAGCACAGCAAGGCAGCAAGGCATGAACCCAAAACAGATTCGGAGGGATCTGCGAAATGTTCGAATTCAATCAGCTGTATGCATTCGGCATTCGTTTGCCAGTTGACCTTCCACCGCGGCGCGCGGGCTGCGCGGTGTGCCGCCTGGAGCTTCAGGCGCCCTTTGTCAAGGTCTGGTTAGTTATTTTATTAAATGCTTCATGCAACAGCCTTTTTGGTTCTGGCCAACCGCATAATTTGCAATCCGCTAGCTAGTCATGTTGAAACCACCCCCCTTTTCAGGGTACACCCAAAAAACCAGGTGTCAGGTGTCCGTTTGAGAACTTCAAATAATAGCTGGGTAGTAACACTGATTTTAGATGGTTTGGTTTAAATTTATGCCGCCATTGACAATTGATTTACCAGGGAAACCCACCTATGGACCTCACAGCATCCTTTTGAGGTCCAGTGTTATTAGAGGGCAACCATTTTGTAAAATATTGTACCAAGTTTTTGTACCAGGCTTTCATTAGGACTTAACTGACACCACCAGTATCTCAGTGTCTCAGCGGTCCAAATTCATGAGAATCATAAGACAATAGCCTGACAACTGACAGCCTCAATCATTGGCCACTTCAGCCAGCCGTGTCAGGCACTTTCGGCTTGAAGTTCTTCTCATGTTTTTTATTGGGTACAGCCGCGGGCCGCTGACCTTGTTGTTAGACCAGTGCTTTTCGACATGTTCGACACCAACAAACTTAGGGCTTGCAGCCTGGGTTTGGTCAAGGGCCACATCACTGTTTGTCAATCTTCAGCACTGCTATTACTATTGGACAGTCATTCTGCGTTTGCCATGGCCTTCCTTTGCCGTGCTGCATTGTGGAATCTGTTGAATCAATAATCAATGGTGAACGAGTGGGACGAGCAGACAAAATCACGTGTGAGGGCGCTGCGGCTTCGAGGCAAGAGTTTGAGAGAAATCGTGGCCGAAACTGGAGTCTCAAAGGGAGCCGTGCAGCGGATCTGCGCAGCTGAAAGCACTGTGGAGCGCGCAGCGAAGAAGCGCCGGGTGGAGGCAGCGGTGGCCATTTCTAGGAGCTCTTGCAAACGGGCAAAGGCATCCGGGGACTTGATGATTGTTCCAGTCACGGTGGGCGGCGCTGTTGTGAATCTGCATGCGAGAAGCGAGACCACAGACTTCAGATCGGTCCCAGAACTCTTCGAGCGCCAGGTCTACAAGCCCAAAGACACATTGGCGCGACAGCTTTGCCAGAGCGGCAAGTGGCAGGTGCTGGATGTGGGCGCCAACATTGGGTACGCGTCTGTTTGCATTTGCTTGGGCCTTTTGCGCAATGCCACAGTTTCCAAGCTGGTGTGCGTGGAGCCTGGGGCCTCGAACGCTGCGGTTCTTCGGCGCAACTTGAGATCTGCGAATTTGAAGGCCTTGGTGCTGGAGACTGCAGTGTCTTCCCGCCGGGGTGAGGGCACCTTGTGCCAGTCCAACAAGTACAACTTCTACCGTCAGACGCTGACGCCGGTGACAAAGGCTGCCTCGTCCAGCTCTGTCGAAACTGCCTTGGACATCCTGAGCAATGTGTCAGATGTGGTAGGCAGCCTATTCATCAAGTTGGACTGTGAGGGGGGCGAAGCGCATTTTGCTGCCCGGCTTTGTGGATGGATCTCCCGCTTGAAGAAGATTGACGCAGTCCTGGTCATGGGAGAGATCTCGTTCGACAACCTTCGTTTGAGTCACTCTGGATATACTGACTTGAAAAGGCAGTTTTCTGATCTCAACAGCGACGACTGGATCCTCGCCAGAGCAATCTGGGGCCGCGCGCCTTTGGGAACCTCAGAAGAAGGCTTCACGCGAAGCCATTTGCAAGCGAGTGCTGGCATGGAGTTGCTGTACATGCGGAAGCAGAGCACTCGTGGTCTCGATGATTAGCGGATCACGTCGGATTGCGGATGCCTATGTAGCCTATGCAGCCTATGCAGCCTATGCGGCCTATGCGGTTTGAGGATTAGATCGCATAAGATCGCCTGATCACATGGCTTTCGGATTGACTTTAGGGAGTCTTGAGCCACGCCCATGTCGATCCGGCAAGTTCATCGAAGGATGTGGCATGTGGGGAAAACAGTGGGGGTGGGCCACCTAGACCTTGACTATTTGTCGTGCTTTCCTACCAATGATTTCCTTACAAAGGTCCTTGTTTCGGAATTCCCGAGCAGATCGCCTTCCAAAAATGCCACGAAGATCCGTACAATTAGATTGAATCAAGGACTCCTAAGGCTCAAAACCTGAGATCACGTGGATTCGCAAACCTCACTGACTGTGGCGTTGAGAACTTCATCATTCATGAGGTGTCGGCGGTGTCGGCGTGTTGAGAGTTGGACCTGGGTATTTGTGACATTTGTGGGCTCCCAAGAATAGTGTTTATTTAATTTAATGATGGTGTTTGGTTCCCGCTTAAAAGGACCCAACAAAAAAGGCAACCCCCACCTCAAGGGATGACAATGACAATGACCTTACTTTAGGCTTGAGCACATGTACGAGTGTTGTATGGGATTGGTATGCTGTAGGGTCCCTGTAGGGTGTTTGTACGGTTTTCAAAGGTAAAAAATCAGGTTTTCTGTTGCGAGACCGGGTTTTCAGTTCGCAACAGGCTCACAACCAAGCTTTGTTTGTTTTAATATAGGTTTGGGATTCGAGCTACTTAGTGAGGCATAGTATAGTCACTTGTGACCAAGCAAACAGCGGCCCAGCTCAGAGAACTTGAAGCAACACAGCCTGCCCTGTAAAGAACCAAAGGCCGAAGGCCCTCGAAATATGATTTTTGGTGCCCCAAAAATAATCGCTTTGCCCTGGCTCCCCTGGCAGGATTCCAGCCCGGGCCAACTCGCCTTCTCCCCAAAATATCCCCAGACTTCGGCACCCACAGAAAGCAACTCAAGCCATTTCAGTGTCAGGATTTAGGGTTTGACAAGCCACAGAAATCGCCACCATCAACCATTGGACCAAAGGCCTTCGAAAATCCTTTGAGCCTTTGAATGAAACCAGGGGAGCAGTCATGAAGGGCGGAATGATATGAAGGGTGCGCTGCACCAGTCGCACAGGCAAGCAAGCGGCAAGCTGTTTGGATTGGTGGTTTGAGCTGTTTGGGGGTGGTTTCACATTTACTATTTACTGATTATACTGAAATTATTAATTATACTAGTACTAGTACTAGGCTATAAGCCCAGTGGTTTCATTGAAAGGCCGCTTTTTTGGGCATCCCATGAAGTCCATGAATCTCGTGAAATGATACAATGATACAATGATACAATCATATCATATAATTTATAATATAATTTATTAACATGCAGAAGTTGACCATCAAAAGTCAAAGTTGGCCCCTCCCGTAGGCCTTGGATTGGGGGAGCTGACCCATGTTGAGGGGGCACGACGCAAAGGGCCCGACAACTGTTACTGTAGTTTAATCAGTTTAATCTTTGAATAATTCAGCTAGTTCAATCGACATCCTTTCCCAGGTTTCCAAGGGGGACGCGTCCCATTTGAGCTTCCTGTAGCGCGTCGTGCCATTGAAGCGTGCAGGCTTCACGTGGGACGTGCCCAGCGGGCCAAGCGGGCCGCCCTCTCAGTTAGCGCGTTGCTGACGTTGCTGGCGGGGTTGGCCTTTGTAGCGGGGAACCCGGGGAACCATTCAAGAAGGGACAATGACAAGGGTGCTACTGAATACGGTTCATGGTCCATGGACCATGGTCCTAACTTATAACATGGTGGGGAGGCACATCACATCTCCATGGCCAATGTGGAGTTGCATACTTGACATGTGACACGTGACATGATTGAGGCTTGCGTGGGCTAGCAGCAGCATGCGGCATGCGCAGAGGGGGAAGTCATGGTTTGTTTGAATTTGTTTGTCTTATTATTGTGCGGAACAAAATCCAAAAGGGGTCTTCCAACGGGTGTTGTCAAAGCTCGGAAATTTAAAGCAGGCGGACAACTGTAACAAGGGAAACTTCAGGGAAACCTTTTAAACCACCAACCAGAGGCAAGAAGGGCCAGAAGGGTATCTCGAAATCGATGTTGTCTAAAGCAAGAAATACTCAAAGCCACTTCCAAAATTGGAGCCTTTATTTCACGGATTGAAGCTTTTGAGCCGAGCTTCGGAATGTCAGCAATAATCAAGTGCGGTACAGATTTTGCCATGTTGCTTTTGTGCGCAAAGTCTGTGAAAGATGCTGGTGATATTACGTTCGGCAATCAACCCCTGAAACCGACCCCACCAGATTCATGTCAGCCGATACCACTGACGCCCTCTCAGAAACCTCGAATGAGTCTGTCGTTCTTAAAGGGCCCCAGACCCAGATGTTGTGTTTTGTTTCCTTGGTCCTTGGTCCTTAAAAACTTAAGTAACTTAAGTAGGTTACATTTCAAAAACAAACAACATCATAGACTGCTCCTCCAGGCGTCGGCAGTGGCGGCTGAGGCCACAGGCGCGAATCATAGACCTTGGTTGGGGAGAGCTTGCGTGGTCCTACACTGGTCCTACGATCCTTCTCCGGAGGACCATGCTATAGGGGATGGCTCCCTTTTTGATCATGGTGACATGTCAATATATTGTGGGGGTCCTCTTACGCGGCATGAGTGTGAGTGTGATTCACAGTGTGATGTTTATCATATCAGTTTATTTTTCTTATAGGCTGGCCCAGGTTTTACCCCGGTCAGTAATTTGTCTCAAGCGCCAACCATTACCAACATTATTAACATCAAAGCTCCCAGCCAATGATGGCGGGTAGACCCGGAATAGCCCGAACATGGCGTTAAGTTTTGGTGTGTTAAATCGTGACATTTCAGTGTCGTGGGCCGTGGGGGTGTGAATCGAGGTCACTCGCCAGAATGTTACAATGTTGGTTTGGATTGGCTAGTGGACTTTGTGGACCCTACTCCAGGACCCCCCCCTCTTTTTTTGTGACATGACTCAGACAGTGACATGTCACACGGGCTAATCCGAGGTTGTTGATGCCCTGACGCATGAGTCCATGAGTCATGAGTCATGAGTCATGAGTCATGAGGGTTGGCAGTACTTGTTATCGGCAATTCAATTCGGTGACTTCATTTTGAAACTCAAATCTGATGGACCGCCGATGGACCATGCTATCCTGCGAGCAATTCACATTCAAATCACGGTATGCATGAATGATCAATGATCAATGTATCCAAAATTTGGCACATTGGCCTGACATTGGCCCAAATGTGCGCCAACCATTGACAGCATGAAATTTAGTTCGATAATCACGCCAAGTCACGCCCAATCACGGCATCCGACAAAGTCATATCATATCATATATCCCGGTAAGCCCAAGGCCAAGCTCTGAGATGCCTACAATTCTTACGATTCAATGTTTGTAGATATGACCAACGACCAACCAACATGTAAAGTGAGTGGAGTGACTGGAGGGTGTGCGAGTTTATTTTCCTTATTTCTCACTTTCCCAATTGCTGATCTTTTGATTCCATTGTTTGCAGACTTGCGGACAGGCCATTGCAGACTTCGAGCGCTGCGAGCGCGTTCACTGCTTCGTCGGGAGCTCAAGGGTCAAGCGGACGCAAGGGTACGAATGACAGCCGCTCAAAACTCACTTCGTTCTGGGGTTCCGGGCCGCCCCAATCAAAAAGGTCCTTTGCTTGGGGATCCCTTTCTTTAGCTTGTGGAATTATGGTAGAATTTGCAGAAGACTCTCTTCGACCCCCAACAGATCATGGGTAATGTTTCCCATTTATTGGGGCATATCATCTTTTTCGTGGTTTTACCCAATGGTCATCCCGTGTAAAGAACCTGCTGATCAAACCTCTTTTTTCTTTTGAATATGTGCTATTTTCCCCTGTTGGATTTAAAGGGAATGAATCAATACTGGAAATAACTTTTTTCCCAGCAGACTTGAGCACGAGGAAGGTTGCGTTTTGTTTGGATTAGTTTCCTTTATTGGGTGATTCTGCATGCACCACATTGGTGTGTTTTTTGAGGGTTAGCGGCATACATCCAAAATGTTGGGTCGACCCTGCGTGTAAATCACGCCAAATCACGGTAATAGCCCAAATTTGGCATACATGTGGCCCAAATGTGTGCCAAACATAGCATACATTCAGTCCGATGATCACGCCAAGTCACGCCCAATCACGGCCCTACATACCGAATGTCCGAATGTTGTAAGTATGACCAACATGGAGTGCGTGGGGATTGATGATTGCTCTTCATGTGGCTCATGTTTCGCGAGTGCTCGGTTTGGCAATCTGAGCTGCATCAACATCATCAAACACTAGCATCAAGCAAGCTGAACATCAACCACCATCAAGAAACATTAAACTAAACATCACAATACCCACATCAACAACAAGCTCCTGATGTCGTCAGGGATACCCGCCGGCACGTGGACTGGACCATCAATGATCATCATCAACATTCAACATCATCAAACACTAGCATCAAGCAAGCTCAACATCAACCACCATCAAGAAACATTAATAACAAAAACATCACAACACCTACATCAACAACAAGAGTGAGAAAGCACCTGTTGTCGTCATGGATGACCGTCGGAACATCAAGGGCAGCGGCAAGGGCAAGGGCAAAGGCAAAGGCGGCAAGGGCGGCAAGGGCAAGGACGATGACTCAGACTATGACCAGATGTTCACGAACATTTTGGAGGCGGAGACGTGGGCGACATACTGCGAGGAGCGGGTGGACATCTTGAGTGCGAAGCTCCACCGGCTTTTGGAGACGGTCGAGTCCAAGGGCGCCGACATCGAGAGGCGTTTGCAGGTCTTGGAGTCTCGGGCATTTCCGCTGGTTCGGAGACTGATCAAGACCATGAAGCTCATGAACGCGAGGTTGCGGAAGGCGGAGAAGGCAATTCAGGCGATGAAGGCGCTGAAAGCCTATA